ATGGAGCAGCAGGTGGGCTTCCTGGCAGAGATCAAGGGACCACATGACTGAGAGGCTGAGGACCAGAGAGAGACGTGGCTGCTGGCTGAGGAGAGGGGCCACTGTGGACCGAAGACTATAACCTTAATGTTGTATGAGCTTGGCTTGTGGCAGTCTGCTAACTTCCCTAAGAAACCCCCACAGTCATGAAAATTGTCTGTGAGTTCTGTGTGGCCTTGGTAATGGATTATTGAACCCAGCAGAGGAGTGCCGAGAGAGGAGCGCTTGGTGTCAGAATAGGGTCAGGCAGGATGGGCAGCGGAGGCATGTCTGACCTCTGCCTGGGGGCAGTCATCCTGGGGCTGGGTGGGGTTGGATTCTCCTCCCTGCGGAAGGTCAGCTGTGGCCCCCATGCCCTTTCCCCACCAGGTTTCCTGACCTTAATAAGTCTCTCATCTGGTACTTGAGTTAGCTGTCCCTGCAAGTTTGCCTTCAGAAATAATCTTTCAGAGGCTCGTCAGCTGTTATTCTGTATCATTTTACTCCTGTGTACCAAAGCATTTGCATTGTATGTATGTAGTAAATTACAAAAAGACATTAAGCAGTGCAGATGCTGTGGAAAACCGTTTGGCAGTATTTCAAAAAATTTAGCTTAAGATTACTATACCAGCAGTTCCCCTCCTACGTATATTCCCGCAAGAACTGGAATAAGTGGTGGAAAAATATGCACCCCCAAAGACAAGAAGGAAACAGCATTTGTGCCTTAACAAACAAACACAACCCCAGAACAGGTGGCAGTGGCCGGGTGAATAACTTCGTCTGAGTAAACAACACTCTGTCATAAGTTGATGCTGACTCGGCAACCCCGTAGACAGGGTAGAACTGCCCCTGCGGGTTTCTGAGACTGGAATGCTTTCAGGAGTAGAAAGCGCCGCCTTTCTCCCAAGGAGCAGCTGGTGGTTTCAAACTGCTGGCCTTGAGTTAGCAGCCCAGTGTGCAACCAGTATGCCCCCAGGGCTTCTGGTGCACACTGACTGGGGCTGTTTGATCAGTGGTATCCGTGCTCTGCACGTGTGTGCCCCCGCCGGGATGTAAGGGTGCCTGTCAGCGAAATGACTCGGAGCCTCCTTCCACTAGGTATTCTTTTGGGAAAGCTGGGAAGCTCGAGTGTCTACAGGGCTCCCACTGTCGGCTTTCTTGCCATGGCCTTACACCGCGTAAGTCCCTTTGTGGCTTCGTCTCTGGGAGCTGGGGACTGACTCCGCTTGGGCTTTTGGTGGATGTGGCCCTCTGAGGCCTCCGGTGTCGGGCATGCAGCTCCCAGTGGGAGAGAAGCCCTGGGTGAGGTCAGTCTAGTGAGGTGACCTCAGGTTTCGGCTGCAGTCCCTGCCTCTCAACAGCCAGACGTGCCTCTAGGGCCTAGGCTGTAGTGATGGGAGAGGGCCCTCCCCTCAGCTGGCTGGTCAGAAACCGTGTCTTCCCTGGTGAGGAGAAACGAACCCCCTTTCCCATTTTCTTCTTCACTCCATCGACACAAATGAACAGTTATTTGGGGCTGTGGGGTTCTTTGTTTTCTTTGGATCACGAAACAGTAAACAGGTTTTCAAACAAAGCCAGGGAGGGCATCTGTGTGCCACAGAAGTGTCTGGACCGTTGGCAGAAACACCCCAGGAGCTAGCAGTGGTTGAGGGTGCCAGTCGGCAAGAGCATCACCTGCAGGCTGGACCCCTCTTAAGTGTTGAAGAACATCAGTCAGTGAAAGGCCAACTCCTGCCCTAAAGGGCATTCATTTTATATTCAGACAAATCTCTAAACAGCAGTCTGAAGAAAGTATTAGCCTCCATGTAAAGAGGGGCCAGACGTCGGCTGTGCCTGGGTTTCAAGGAGCGAGGTGATAGCATTCCCATGCCCTTCTCCACCAGCCGTCTGCCCGTAAGAACCCGGCATCTGGGCTTCCTGACCAACGGAAGGGCATGCTGGGCTCTGGGGGGATGGGGAGGGCAGGGCAGCCCAGGCTGCTAGCAGAGGGTCTGGGGGCCTCGTGGTCTGTGCTGCCTCAGCGAGCAAGGACCCCAGGACCCACAGGCCAGCCCCTCACCTCGTCAGACTTTGCCTCCCCACCACCAAATTCACTTACTCACTGATCCAAGACACTTCTCTCGTTTTACCGAGATTGATGGCCAGTTGAGGGTGGGGTGGGAGGAGGGTCCGAAGCCAAAGTTCTTGTCTAATTTAAATGACAACCTGACAACCATAATCACAACATTCATTGAAATAGTGCCCTGTATAGTTTAAAAACGAAATTTCCATTAAGCATAATTTAAATCTGCCACAGTAGTTTTAGCCCTCCTTCAAAAGCCCCAGCCCACTAGAACAGAGGCTTATTTCATCGTCTCCTTTTAAGGATTACGAAGCAGGTGAGAAACACCCCTAACAACGGGCACTGGCAGTGTGGCGAGCAGGTGTTCTTCGTTTCATGAAATGAATCACTTGTATGAATATTAAAGAATGTCTTACGCATATTGCAGATGCCACTTAAACGTGATAATAGATGCTTGTGAATGCTTCCCCAAGTGGATTAATGTATGAGTCTGAATTAAAATTCCAGACAAAAGCCAATGGAGACACATAATTGTATCCCACCTGTCTTAATTTAGTTAGTTTTCCCCACAGTTGCACTGGAATCCACCCTTGATGACTCTGTGGGCCTGTTCTTGGTGGGGAGATTTAAGGGTCTGCACACATAAACCAGTGTGAGGTCACCTTCATCAACAGCTAGCTAGTTTTTGCAGCCACAAGCGAGTTTCTTAGCCCAGATCCCTTCTGTAGGAATATCATGGGAGCCAAACATATAACTTTACTTTATTAACCTAGTATAACCAAAATGCGGTGTCTATAGTGATCTAATATAAGAAGTGATTTCTAGTGCCTCTTCCCACCGGGTTTTAAACTATGTTGTGTAGTTTACCCTTGCCGCGTGTCTCAGTGTGTTGTCACCACATTCCCAGTGCTCAGTAGCTCGCGGGTGGCTCTGTGCTGCCTGGCTGGACAGCACAAATGCTATTGTGGTGCGTTTAAAGGGATAGCGAAGGAGAAGTACAGTATCTAGCAAGAAGGCTTTAGATGCCAGAATAGGTGTTTGAACGGTACTCTGACAGCTATGGGAGGTTAAGCAGAGAAGTGACATCTTAGATTTTGAAAGTCATCTGATGGTCTCAGGCTTATAGTTTAGGAGTAGGGGCTCAATCAAGAAGGGTGGTGTTGTGTCCTGGTGAGCAGGGCTAAGAAGCACACTGACACCCTGGGGGGTATGGACAGAAGGAAGTATATCTGAGAAAGATGTTGGAACCATTTCCGGGGATTTGATGGGACTCCTGGGTGTGAGGAGAGGGAGAGGCGGGATCGAGGTTGTCTTCAGGTTTCTGCCTTGGGCAGTGGCCCCCCAGCACTGAGGTTGGTGGGGCACCTGGAATGACGTGGGTGTGGGTCGACCTTGAGGTATCTTCAGAACAGGCTGGTGGATGTACGGTTGATGTGGGAAGGGGTTTCTCGGAAAGGAACAGGTGGGAACAGCCTCTTAATAAAAGTGTGCATGGAGACTCTCAGCCATTAACAAGAGGCTATAAGGCTGGGCAGTCAAGGAAGACATCCCAGGGAGGTGAGGTTCCAACAGGATCTTACAGAAAGGGGTAGGACTTAGAAAGTCCAAGGAGCAAGAAGGGGCGGAGGCATGGTAGAGGTGAGAACATCACACTGCTTGGGGACACAGTGAGTGGTTAACCGTCCTGCCGACCCAGCAGGGATTAGGGCTGAGATCAAAGCTGGCCTAATGTAGTCGGCAGGTACCTTGTGTTGGGCTTGCGTAGGGTTGGATCCCACAGGGCTGTGAGTCTCAGTTAGGTGCCAATACCTCCACACATGGCTGACTTCTTAAAAGGGGGCTGGGTGGCAGGTTTGTCAGTGTTTGGCAGCCATCAGCCTAAGTGGAGTGGTAACTGCTCCCTTTCATAAGAATGTATGCCCTCTCTCCCCAGCCAGTCTGTTTTTCTTGGTTCTGTTCATTTGCCTGGGGCCTGCACACCTTTGTGGGAGTTTTTTTGCCTCTCAGCCAGGGATCGGTGTACGATCACAAAATGATAGGTAGGAACAGATTCTTGAGGACTTTGTATACCAAAGGAACCCTGGTGGGCTAGTGGGCTGTTAACAGCAAGGTCTGCAGGCACTCTGCGGGAGAAAGACAAAGCTTTCTACTCCTATAAAGAGTTCCAGTCTCAGAAACCCCAGCGGCAGTCCCCCCCTGTCCAGGAGGGTCACTGTGAGTGGGAATTGACTGGATGGGAGTCAGTTAGAGGGAGTTGAATAGCAAGCTAAGGGATGGGCAAGGTTGCATAAGGAATTGATGAAAATAACGTATTTTAGGAGGAGAGTTCTGAACCCACGGGAAAAATAGAAGGCAGTTATTAGTTTGGAAGGAGTGGAGAGAGAGATGATGGTGTCGGGGTATGCCAGTGTCCCGAATAAGTCAGTGGCAATCTAGAAGGAGAGGATACCAGCACTGCTGTTGCTGTCACCAAGAACGGTCGGGCCCATGACACTTGCTCACAAGCCCCAGGATGCAGGCTGCTGGAGGTAGGGAGCAGTTCAGTTCTTTAGACCTGCCTTTCAGGGGAGCTGGGGTCACGTGCCCAGCCCTTGGACGGCCTCAGTTTTGAGCTGGGAGGACAGGCTTGTGCTGTGTGTTCAAAGGGCTGTTGGCTTTGCCCTGATGGCTCAGGGTCTGCCGGGTGTACCCCTGGATTAACCACCGCCATCTCATTTCTTACACACATTCAGCCATGTGAAAAGTTTTCTTCACGGACGTTCATGTGAAAAGTGACAACAAAGCGTGCAAACATTTCAGCGTGGGTGAGGTGAGAGTTCCCAACATTGGGGAGACACGGAGGCATCTTTGGACAAAGCCTCAGAGCGCGGCAGCTTTCCCCGCAGTATTTAGTGTGGATTTCCCCCTCTCTGGCCTGCAGATGAAGTACGTGAAGGAAAAGTTTAAGGATGAAACCAATGAAGTGGTGCTTCTCATGTGCATTGGCATCACCTCTGGAGTCGGGCGGCTGCTATTCGGACGGATCGCAGACTATGTGCCTGGAGTGAAGAAGATTTACCTCCAGGTAGGTCTCAACCCCTCTTCCCGCCCCTGCCCCCAGACAACGTCTCCTTTTGCCCGCCGCTGGTGGCACGTACTTCACATTTGCTGAAGTTCTCCAGAAGAAAGGAGCAATGTTTCCGAGAATACACGTAATTTCTCCCCCAGGCCCTATCAGTACGGGCGAGGGCTGTGGGCGAGGCCAGCTGGCGGTCTCACAGCACCAAAGGCCCGTGCTGCTGCGCGTTTCCCCCAGGGCTCTGTCTGGGCCCGGGGCTCGGGGACATGTGCACATCCGTGCCGTTTGCGGTGCCCTGCCTACCAGGTTTGCGTGTGTGCGCTGAGCTGCTGTACTGCAACCCCCTTTCCCCCGAGTGCGGTGGGGTACACTGAAAGGACGCTCGTCCCCAGATCTCCACTGACACCCCCAAGCCAGGATGGAAGGGACGCCTCCATGCTACGTGTGTGCCCGGTTCTGCACCCCTAGGGGAGACAGATAAGCGGTGCAGTTGCACAGGGTGATAATGAGTGTTCCAGAAGGCTGCCCTGGAAACGTAAGGGCCAGTTTCCAGAGTCCCCATGAGGCTGTGTTCAGAGATGAGTGGCAGTTCAACAGATAAGCCGGAGGGGGTGTTCCAAGCAGAGAAAACCCCACATGGGTGCAAAGATAGGGAGGTGTGACATGTTCGTGAAACTAGGTTTGTCCAGAAAAAAAGGGAGAGGAGTTGACGAAGGACTGGGGTGGGGGTGAGGGGTGTTGAAGGCCCTTTATAAGCACAAAAGGATGGCCTCTACCCTAACGTACCATCAAGAAGGGTTTGAAGCCAGCTGTGTTTTATGTAGATGACTCCAGTAACTAAGAAGGGTGGGCTGGTGCGTGGGAGGCAAAGGTGCGGTCCATAGTTCCAAACTGCCCTACAGTGTAGGAGTTGTTTTCTATGAAATGCCCCGGAGGGAGAAAGCCTGGGTGGTGCTGAGCCTGGAGTGGAGGATGCCCCTGCGGGGCTGCGTGCAGTGGGTGGGTGACTAAGGACCTGCCAAGGCAATGGAAGGGGCGGGTGCCCGGCTGATGGGAGCATGACAGTGGTCAGCAGCGTCCGTAGCTGGTGATGGAGACTAAAATGTTTTCGTTGGATTTAGCAACAAAGAGCCCTGACAGAGGGTAGCTCCAGCGGAGTGGCAGGGGTGGGGGGAGTCAGGCCCAGAGGGTAGCTCCAGCGGAGGGGCAGGGGTGGGGGGGTCAGGCCCAGTTGGGTAAATGGAAATAGAGACAGCTTTGTCTTGAAGGCTACTGTGGAAGGAAGGTAGAGGAGAGCTGGCGGGAAACTTTGGGTTTGCGTGGTCAGCATTTCTACTCCTCTGAAAGGCAGAGGCAATGTCGGAGCCGAGCCTTGAAGGAGGTGGAGTTTGAGACAGGAGCCCGCCGGAAACGATTTCCATTAGTTGACTTGAGTAACTGCCACCATTTATTGGGCACGTACATGTGCCAGAAATGAACTGAGTGCTCTGTATGCATTATGTCACCATTTCTGTTAATAGATGTCTCACTGAGGCAGCGAGAAGCCACATTGTGTGTGTGTGTGTGTGTGTGTGTGTGTGTGATCTGTTTTGTGTAAAGAGCCAGGCAGACAGCCACAGGAAGGTCACCTGGATAGCAGGTACTCTAGGCAGCTGTTCGAGGATGACTTTTTAAGATGAATTTACTGTGTTATGATCCTTCCCCATTTATCTGTACCTCTCCTGGGTGTCCTGGCTCAGTGGTTAGCAGGCCATTTAGTCTTGTTCTCAAATGTCAAGGAGCCCTCTAGTGGTCATTCTTTGTATTACAGACTCAATTTCCTTTCGTTCATTCAAGAAATGCTGAGTACCTATGGTCTGGGTTTGTGTTCTGCCCTCTGCACCAGCCTAACCCTGATGAGATAATACAAACAAGACAGACGTGGCCTTAGCGTTCCAGGAGAGTGGTGTGGGAAGGAGTCAGAGAATTCCGAGGGGTGGGATTATATGGAGCCTCAATTGCCAAAGTGAAGAGCTATTAGTATACTGGACCATTGTTGAAGAATTTGGTAGTCTGATTTCACGTTTTAAAGTCACATCAGTTGCTCTGTGTGTAGAGGCTGGATGACAGGGACCAGGAGCAAGGATGCAAGAAGAGGTCCAGAGTTGGAGTGCGACAGGGCCTGCTAGATGCCGAGCTAACACGGCAGGTGGGGAACACACCGAATTCAAAGCTCAGCAGGAAGGGGGTCGCTGTGTGAAGGCTAGGTCCTGGTTTGGATTAGGAATTATTAAGCGTTCACTTATTGTCTGTAAAAGAAGAATGCGGTCATTAGCCGGGGGTTCTGGCCTGGAATTGGGAATGGCCTACTAACGCTGTCAGCGTGATTAGTAGGCCTGCATCTTCTTCATGGAAAATGTCAAAGAGCAGGGACTTGGGAGGAAGAGCCAAAGCCTGTGTATTCCTCAGGAGTCTTGAAATCCCTGGAATAAGCTGACTTTCCTCTGGAACAAGGTTGTCGGTAAAGCTTTACACTCCAGCACTTGGCTTAT